ACGAGACACAACAACACTTGTGTCAGTAGATAGCAAGGAATTCAATAAGCTCATGAAGAGTATTTATGTAGGACGTATTGAGGAGAAGGATGTGAACGCACTGATGATTTATGAAGCGGGTCAGAACAAGAACTATCTTATGAAGTCAGGCATGAGATTCTTTGACGAAAGAGATGACATTTACAGCTATTTCAGAGGATATGAGTATGAGGTACTGAATGAAGTAGATGAAAGCGTTATTGAAGGATATTTGAAACATGTTCACGATGTCATATGTAATGAGGATGAAGAGCTTTATGAGTATGTTTTGAACTGGTTCGCCTACATCGTTCAAAATCCTTGTGGAAAGACTGGAACAGTACTTTTGTTAATAGGAAAGCAAGGAACTGGTAAGAATGTATTTAGTAATGTTCTATGCGAGCTCATTAGCAAGTACGCCAACAATAATATAACGGCAATAGAGAATGTGGTTGGTAGATTCAATGCTGCTATTGAGAACATGAAGCTCATCGTATGCAATGAACTAAGCTCATGCGATACGTCTAAGGTCATGAACCACGACGCACTAAAGTCAATAGTAACAGAGACTCAGTTGGACTTAAATCAGAAGTGTCAGCCAGTAAGAAAGATAGAGAATGTTTGTAATATCATCATGATATCTAACAACTTCAACTCAGTAAAGATTGACAAAGACGACAGAAGATTTGTTGTCATTGACGTAAGCAGCAGATACAAAGGAAATTACGAATATTTCTCAAATCTCATTGAAAGCTTTAATGAAGAGTTTTATTCAAACTTACTGACGTATTTCATGAGGAAAGATTTAAGTGAATTTGATGTAAGGAAGATACCATTCACCAGGGCTAAACAAGAACTCATCGAAATGAACAAAACACCTTACCAAATGTTTTACGAGGAGTTCTATGAAAAGTTTGTATCCGGATGGAATTGTACAGAGTGCTACAGAAGATATAAAGAATTTGCGAAGGAGAATGAATTCTTTGCATGTAGTTCAAATGTATTTGGTGGCAAGATGAGAGAATTTGTGAAAAGAAGTAGAAAGCGAGACGGTTCTGCAAGAAGTTATATTTACGAAGCAAGTATGTTATTAGAAGGTCGTGGAAAGAAAGAAACAGTGAATTATGAGGAAGTGCTTGAAAAATTCATGGAGTACATGGGAAGCAATATAACATACAACAAAGACATATACAGTGAGTTTAAGTACTACTGTGAACAGCATGAGATTGAAGTAATGAGTAAAGGAGACTTTGAAACGCTTATGAAAGACAGTGAGGAGGTCGTTCATGAGAACAATGATGAAATAGTTCATGAGAACAGTAAGGAGGTCGTTCATGAGAACAGTGATGAAATAGTTCATGAGAACAGTGAGGAGGTCATACATGAATGCAATGATGAAATAGTTCATGAGAACAGTGAGGAGGTCATACATGAGAACAGTGTTGAAATAGTTCACGATGTCGTTCGTGAGAACAGTGATGAAATAGTTCACGATGTCGTTCGTGAAGAAGCCATTGCAACAAAGAATGAGATAAAGGATTTCATAGAACTTAACAAGGAGGAGTTTAAAGAAGGCTATGAAGTGAAAAGATGTGAAGAAGATTTCTTGGCGTATTTGAAGAAAAAGAGACTAAAGCCAATGGCTCAAAATAAGTTTCAATCGATGTTTGAAAAGAAACGTTTGAGCTATGGTGGTGTAAGAAGCACATATTACTTTGTTAAGAAGTGAGGACATTTATTTTTGTCGTTAGTGTTGGAGTTTTGTATTTGTTGTTAGTGAGAGAATAAATTAAATCATGAACTTTGCCATGGTCTCTGTCCCTAGTAGTTTTCATTAAGTTCTGGAAATAATGAAAGTCATGAACTTTGCCATGGTCTCTGTCCCTAGTAGTTTTCATTATCTCACAGAGTTAATGAAAGTCATACTTTCTATCAGATGAAGCATGCAGATGAACATAATGAAAGTTAGTGAGTTTGCCACGAGTTATGAATAAAATATTGGCATATTAGACGAGATAGCTGATGAAACAGATGAAGATAAATTAAATCTTGGACTTTGCCACACTCTGTCCCTAGTTCCTCAAAATCCTTGACAACGTTGCTTAGAAATTTTGGTTCAAAACCTCATCTGATTTTAATCTGTTATGCTACCTGTTAAGTTTCGCGAGATTATAAATGTCATGGAGTTATATAAAAAGGAGGGACAGCTAGGGACACTGGAAGTACTTGTAAGGCTATCTGTTAAGATTGCATGAAATACTAAAAAATCATGAAATCCATTATCGCTGTGCTAGCTTCACCTTAGAGTAAAATGACGACTAAAGTCACTGAAGCAATGAAACAAAAGTTCTTGGTAGAATACATTAAATCAGGAACTATTCCAGAAGGTTTTTACATTCATACTATGAAGGATGGTAGAGTTCAGTTTAGAAAGATAAAGCAACCATTAGATAAAGAAGGTATATTAAGGAAGATTAAACTTCATGAGGACAACATTGCTGAACTTAGGAAGAAGTTAGAAGAGTTGGAGAAAGCAATGAATTCAAGTGGGTGAAAAAACAGGTGAAAAAAGAGGTGAGATCTCACCACTTCACCTAAATTTATTTTTGTGCTATGTTTTCATACGTGTGAGGGTGGTGATATCATTTATTTTTATATAAATGACAGAACAAAAATATAACATATCTACTCAACAGGAATGAGACCCTTACTGACTATGTATTCGTTTAATGCTTGATGAAAACAATGGTACATATTATCGTATGGGTATACACAGCGTCTGTTTCCATCGTCGTCGTATATGTAGAGCTCAAATCCAGTCCAACCTTCTTTTGTACAATATGTAGCTTTATTTAAGTATGCATTTATGTAGATAAGGCAATTTTCTTCATCGCTCCAGAAATAATTTTTGTTCTTTGTTGAAATAGTTTTCGTTCCTCTGCGACCATAAGGAATGTATGCAATGAACTTTGCGTCATATGGGATTGTAATATATTTAGGGTTTCTTTCATCGTCAATGGGTCTGTCTTTGTTAAAATGCATGTTTCTCAGTTTTACTTGAGTTTTGAATAGTTCACGGAAACGTTCTGGGAAAGAATCATAGTAAATGTAGTCAGACATGTCTTTGTAATGAAATAAAAAATTTAAAAAAAATAAAAATAAGGTTATTTTTTATTTAGTGAGGACGGTAGTGAATTCGTTAGTGAGTTCGTTAGTGAAGTCGTTTATGTGTCAGACGGTTTTGTAAATATTTAAGGTTAAGTTGGTGTTATGGTTGTGTTGTAAAATATACGTTACCGGTTTCGTAAAGTGTCAAAACCGTTAAGTGGTGTACGGAGGCGCGCAGTGCCACAGTACACGACTTAGCCATACTAACTGAAATTAATGAATTTTGTTATAATTCTCCAGGTTATATTTTAGAACATTTCGAAGAATTTTTGGAGGATTTCAAAGAAAAGAATAATTTAATAGACTAAAAAATTTATTATTTTTATTTATTGTGAATTTTAATTTGTCACTTTTTAAGTGTTACTCCCTATTGAAAGTGTCACTTTTTGGGTGTCACTTTTTCGGAAATTCTTATATACTCTATGAATTTGATATGTAATGCATGAAAAATAGCGTGACTTCATTTTTGACAGTTTACAAATGTAAAGTGTTGCATCCTTAAAAACTTGGAAATATATACATTCATGAATTATCTTGTATATTAATTGAAAATCCATAAAACCCTAACAATATTTTTTCTTAAAAAAAACTATAAAAATATAAATAAAATTAATCGTTAAATAAAAATATTTGATATTAGAATTTTATTGGAAAAATAAAAAACTTAATATTTTAAAGAAATACTTAAATACTTGAATGTTTTAACTTTTACATTATCATATAGACTCTCAAATTATTAGCCATTTTGGCTGAGAACTATGGTCTGCGACGACATTTCACCAAAAATTTTTCGGCGCCATAGGAAGAATTGGAGGGTGTGAGATACTATTACATGCTATAGTACTCACACCCTCCAACTTCCAATCAAAATCGCATAAAATTTGCTACTTATCTTCAGATTACCTCCCATTATAAAATATATCATTGCTATCTCATTGTACTATATTTCCACCCGATTGTATTTAAAAATATAAAATTTTTTGATAATATATTTTTATATCTTGAATTTTCAAACAATATATTCACAGATAATATAATGGGAAATCTATCTCAACCTAGCCTTAAAGTACCAAACTCCTGCTTGCATTCTCACTCACAAATATTAAACATCCATCTTCAAAAAACTAAATTCTTCACAATTTTTTTAAAATTGAGAACATAAAAAACGTATGCATTCAATAATTTAAGATACTAACAAATATTCAAAACTTCAAAATATCAGATATTAACGTTTTTCAATTAAAAAAATATCATTTTGCTTTTCAATTCGAACATAAATCTTAAATATTTTTAATTAATATCTGATTTACAGCATTATTATCCATTATAAATCTGACAAATAAATGACAAAACCATCAGAAATAGTGTCAGTTTTGTCAAAAGTGAAGTCACGCTATTTTTCATGCACAACACTCTATGAATTTGATATACTTATGAAATTGAAATGGTAAACAAATTGAAGAATGATACATTCTAGCATATCTGATTAATATGATGATAATATATCACTTTGATAATCTTTGTACAATTCTTTTAAAATGATGCACTTTTGTAAATCTATTTACACTAGATCAATAAATAAAAATTATATTAAGTATGATGATCATAAATCCGAGGATTAATTTCATATTTCCAGAAAGAGCTATAATTTATACTATTCACAACAACTCGGGGTCCAAAATTGGATATTTTGCTAACAATTTTTCTGAGGATTTAAACTAAAGATTCATCAAGAATTATCGTTAACAAACCAAAAAAAGAATCATTTTGATAATAATAAAAAATATTTTTAGTATATATTTTGTCTCTATATATTACAAATTCAATAAATCTCTGTCTTGGAAGTTTTTGTCTCTTCCTCTAAGTGTTGCACCTTTCTGCAACAAGTACTTGATTGCGGCCAAGAATCCTGTTCTCTGTGACTGAGTAATTTCGGTGTTTGCGAGTGCGCTGTTGTAGAAAGCCAAAGCGTTTGAAAGAGGAGATTTCATTTCGTCCAACACTTTGACAGCCCACAGCATTTCACCTCCATGGATCAGTTTTGTGTCTTCCAGGAGAGGAATCAATATTGAAGGCTCCAAAATCTCTTTCGTTCCACTTTCGCTGCTTCTTGCAATTGCCAACACTTTTCTCTTCAATTCCAGAAGACTCAAACCTTGGTTTTGCTCGAAGAATCTCGACCACATCAACGAGACGACACTCATTTTGTTTGCGTTTCCTGCTATGGTCAAGAAAGGCAACAATCTAAGTATCAAATCAAATCTGTTTTCTGCCAAACAAGAATCAAATAATTGTTGATTTGACAACAACTCATTTGATGCCTTTCCTTGGAACAAATCTCTCTGTATCTCAGCCGGATGCAACAAATCAATCGCTTCTGTGTAAACAGTGGACATTCTGCTGGCTCTCGCATAAGTTGTCACTTTTCTTAAATATTGAATTCTTTTTTCGATATCGATATCATTTGATTTTGATTTTGCTAGTTCCATGAGTCTTGCAGCAGCTGTTGCGTAATCATGGTGTCTTGCGTTATACAAGTACAACAAGTCCGGATACTTTTCTTCGAGGAAAGAAACCAAATACGGTGTAGAAACAGACAACAATTTTTCTTTTGAATCTTCATCTTTTTCTTGTAAAATGTATGAATACAAAACAACATGGAATGTTTCATCATTTGATTCCAGCATCTTCTCGAATGCATCAGGGACATCAGATAGTTTCAATAATGGTACATAGCACTCGTATCTCTTATCAAATGCAGCTGTTTCGCGACTTTGTGTACTGGATCTGTCACTTTTATACCAAGTCAAAGCCAAATGTGTTGGATCGATTAATTCTGCTCTTGCCAAAGAGATGTCTACGATTGCCTTGTAGTCCTGGAGGCTTGTGAATATGTCTGTTATCTCCTGGAGGTTCTGCTGAGGGATCTGGTCAGCGTATTTAACGAAAGTATCAATGCATCTTTCGATAATTGGCTGAGAAATTACGGTTTGTTTGTATCTTGCAGATTTGAGGTCTTCTATTGCTTGTTTTATGAGGGAAGCAGCTTCTGAGAAGAAGAAAGGACATTCCCTTGCAAGCTTCATGGAGAATCTATCACCACGGGATGGTCCATCTTTGCAGCTGAAAAGAGATGCAGCGAATTCTCTCAATGCATCGAAAATTGAATATTTGTTTTCATCTCCGAAATCGAGAATTGTCAATCTCATTCTCGCTGCTTCAGAAACTATTTGGATTGTGCCATCGATGACAGATGTTTTGAGGGTCTTGATGATCTGCATGAACTTAAGAGTCTCTATAATGGAACTGACATAAGTGTAAATCCTGTAAATGTTCGTTGTTTCTTCATCAACTTCTTTTTGCATGTCAGGATCATTTGCTTCGATTGATGACCTTCTTAACCTCATGTAGTCATCGCCAAGCTTGAAAATGTCTCTGAAGTTTTCAATGGTATTGCTAGGCAATTCATTAAAAATTGGATTAATGATCCACTTCATTTTTGAATTGTCACTTTTCTTTACAAATTTTGTAAAAAGTGTCGATCTCCAAATTGGAGTCAAAAGTCTTTCAATTCTGACGATGAAGCCCATTGTTACGTGTGAGAGGTTGCCTAAGAAGCGTTCGTACCTCTGGTTGTTGAGTTTCGTGAACTGATGCATAGTATGGAGTGCCCAACGCTGTAATTCTGGACTTCTTCCGGCCAAAATGATGGAAGCGGCGCAAGCTTCTCCTCCTGCGGCGTTTGAGAACATCCATTCGCGGATTGGGTCTGTGAAATTGCCTTTGTACTCTTGGAGAAGGTCGTTGAGGTTGTCAACTGGAAGTTTGAAGTTGACAATGCGATATCCATCTGCGCATTGAAGGAAACCTGGCGTTGGCTGGACAATATGCTGCCAGAGATACTCGTTATGGAACATGGAGGTGTTTTGGCCTTTGTAGATGTGCTCGGATCTGAAAAATGAAAGACAATCTGGAGATAATGGAATTGTTACGAGGTCTTCTACGAGATGGCTCTGCATATGATGAGGATTACTGTTGGGATGAAGGATGGCAAACATGTCTTTGAATAAAAATGAGGACATACCGTGTGAAAATGACCCGGAAATTAATGTATGGCCTTGGAAAACTTCAGGAGCAGGGAGTGTACGGCGTAAGTGTATTTCATCGGGGTTCCTGTAAAGACCTGGGAAGGTTCCAAAGAAAAATCTGTCGCCGTTTGTGCTGAAAGCAACAAAATGCGAAAGTAATGAATCAGAAATCGGAATTGCTTCAATGTTTGTAATATTACCGCTGTAGTCGATCTTTTCTTTCGATAAATAGTATAAATGTTCGTTCTGATACTTGTAAAATCGAATTGTTTTTCCGACAAGGAAAGCAAAGTAATTGTGGGTATCATCAACAGCCATAGAAGTTGTTCGGCGAGGGTTTTTAAGTAGGTTTGCCATAGGAATGAACCAAAGAGGAGAAATTAAAGGTTTAAGTTTGAGACCTGGGGCTTCTTGAGTCGATTTGGTATCTTTGTACTTAACTAAATAGACTTCACCAGTGTCTGAACATAAAAATATCTCGCCTTTCGATGAAATATAAGAAGAAACAAAAATCGTGCTAATTTTCATTTGAGAAGCTTCATCTTTGTATATTTGAAATGGCTTTGCAGGGACAATCTTAATTGTTCTATCTGTAGCAATAAGAATTACGTAAGTTGGGTTTTTGTTAAAAATTTTTGGTTCTGGAATACCATAAGTAACAGTTGTGATAATATTTCCATCGGCAGTAATCACTTCTGGGTTTTCTCCATTGTTAAATGGCCACATATATAAAGTATTATCAACTACGCAGTATAATGTTGATAATTTAGGAAAAGAACTCATGAAAACTCGGTATTTGGCAGCAGTAGCTGCATTGTAGACACGAGTTGGATACTTTTTGACGTCTGAAATTGTTGCAATGCTATTTTCTTTTTCGATTTTATTGTAATGTAACTCCACAGCAATGGAGGATTCGAAAAATTCTGGTATATACTGATCGGAGGCAATGCAATTTGATATTTGACTTGTTACAAAGCGATGGTCTTCGTCGATCGAGACGGTATCTCGACTGTACAAAGTCATCTTCGTAATAAACAAAAAAAAGGCCACAATTTTAGAGAAAATTGGATTTAACAATAATTTAATATGTTGAGTTAAAAACTTATATTTTCTCCTTAAAAATTTTCACTGGAGAAATAAAATCTTGAAATTTTTGGATAAAAAAATAAATTCAAAGCTTCTAGATATGTCTATATGCTGCTACTAAATATGCAACTGCTGATATTTAAATCATCTCAATTTGATATTGAAGAAGTATTTCAATAACAACATAATGCATGATATTTTCTTTTACTATCATTAAAAGAGTTCTCCAAAAGTAATCTTCTACTTTGATATTTGCGCTTTTGAGTAATAAGAAGCTCTGCTCTTTAAGAGTCACCTTAACTCACAAACTTTGGTATCATTGTCTCAGACTTATAGATGATTGGGCATATTCTTATTAAGTAACACACATGAAGAAGACTTCAATATCTTTCCACAATTAAAGACTGTCAGGCGTTTTATTACTGATAAAAATCCGCTTAAATTAGTTCATATGAATACACTGATCAAGACATTCATCCATTTGAATACAGTGTATGACGAAGTATCGTGTAATGATTGACTTTTTATAACATCAAAATCCTTCAAAATTCAGAAAAATTGAGAGGAAATATGTGGTCAGTCAGAACCCTTTGAAGGCATGAAAAAGTTATTTACAGGCGTGCATGAATGTTAGATAAAAACCTTAAACTGGAATTAAATCTAAATATCACACTAATCTAAATGCTGTTTTTAAGTTTCAATAATTTCATCGCAGAAAATTGTTTTTGACAGAAATGAATGGAGAAAATTTTTCGAATTTCCCCATGGAAGGAGATAATATCCATCCTTTACTATTAATTAATGAAAGCTCTAGAGTCGAGGTTATTAATAATACAATCGAGTTATGGGAAAAAGATAACAATTCATTAGCTTTATCTGCGGAAGTACTGGATTGGATATTAAACACATTCTCAGTTGGATTTCAACTTGATGATAGCCAAAATATTTTAAAGGAACGTCTTTCTCTTTTAGTTTTAGAATTTTCTTTTTACATCCAAAAGAGCATCGAAGCAGATGATGCTGATAAATTAATACAGAAGTCTCTTAATATGGTCACTTCGTCACTCATAAACGGTCATATTAATAACAGCAAAGAAATAATTTTTAGTTTATACAACACTATTTTTGAAAAACGCGTACAATTTTCATCCAAAGCATGGGAAATCATTATTAATTTTGTCAAATTTATTACCAAAGACTTAAAAATCAAAGAATATACCGATGAATTATCGAAAATCATTGCTTTTATGTATCCTTTATCAAAATTGACTGATAACAAAACTTTAAAGTCCTTTAGAAATATACTCGAAGCATCAAATACTCAAAAAAGTCTTCAGCCGGAAATTTCATTTATGATTCGATCGATTTTCGAATATACATTTCCTTTGATCTTCGATTTTTCAACCAACGAAAACTCTACAATTTCAACACGTGATTTTGGGATTTTATCCAAAATTGAATCCGAAATTTTATTATCTTATTTGAAGGCAATTATTCTTTATTCTGATAGCAGCCAAGATAAAACGATCTTTCCTATTGCTGTTAATGTCATTACTAATATCAGAGAGTATAGTACTAATGTTTTTTTGGTGAAATTCCCTTTAGACCAATTTTTCTCGATTTTTTCACGAATTTCTTTTCTCCCGGAGCCACAAAACTTTGAGTGTTTCATTGATCTGCTAAGTTTCGGATATCTTATCGATAAAAATTGGAAGAAATCAATAATTGTCTACTTAAAGTACATTTTAGATTACTATTTAAGCATTATTAATTCTGAAGCATCATTGGGACTTCCAAATTACCTGAAATTAGTTCGAAATTTCGTTCAAAACGAGAGAATTATTTCATATCTCATTCCTTATATCCTTAAATCGCTTAAGGACAATAATATCTTGTTCCCCATTGACTTTTTGTTAAACTTAGCTAGTGACAGTGAATGGATAACCCAGAAAATTCTTCAAGATAATGTTTCATTGACAGAATTTACGAGAACTCAAGGTCCGTTCTCTGCAATCTCAACAATACCATCTATTAAGAATATGGTATTGTATTTCGCTTCGATTTATCCAAAAATGAACTCTTGTAACACGATATTTACTTTAATTTACTATTATACTAACAATATCCAGCATTTCTGTGAAACAATATATCACTCATTAGATCCGAATTTCCTGGCAATCAGAAATTCCTTTGGAACAATTGATTCTTTGATTTGTCTATTTTATATATGTCATGACCTTGATTTTATTAAGAATTTGATTAATAGTGGAAGGTTCTATTCCATTATTTCCGAATCAATCAAAACAAAAATGCATGAAATCATGATTATGATTTTGATTGAAATTGCAAACGTAACTGATATATTTTCAATCAATGAAGGCTTCAGACAGCATGTTGCAGAGATTTGCAGACATAATATCGTTCAAAAAATGCCAAATTTGAATTTGTACAAAACATTGTTGTTTAAATTACTTTTGAGTAGTAAGAAGGTATCGAACACATCCGAAATCACTCGGTTCCAAGAAGAAAGCCGGATTTTCATAGTCAATGAATATCTTTTATTAATGAAAGAGAATCCATCAATTCTAGACGTACAAACTCTTTCTCCTTATGGCGTATTTTCGTTCCAAGCCACTCCGGTTCCGTTCTCACACGGAAATTCCGGAAAAGAAGAAACAGATAACGAAAGTTCGGAAGATTTATCATCGTCAAGGGAAGAAAGTTTGTCACAGAACTCGATTTCATCATCAAACAAGTTTGACAATATCAGAGCTGTTGATTTCCTTTACAATATTGGAATTATTGATTCATCAAACACAAATAAGGTCCAATACATTGGCAAGGACAAGAAATATGTCAGCGAATATGTTAACGCGATGGTCCTTCCTGTTATTAATGTCTCTGTTATGTCAGTTGACGAGAAATGCGAAAAACTCGAAAGAAAATCTGAAATTTCACCTCAATACAGGTATTTTCTTTCTCAACTTGGCAAGAGAACCATTGATAATGACACTACAGCCACAGATTTCGCACTCTTTACTGCTCAATTCCATTCCAGGCCTCAAAATAATATTCCGATAGACATAAGCATCATATTTATTGATGGAATGAGTTTTGTCAATGCCATCTCAGACAACTTCACTCAAATCACACCGAAAATTGCAGTTCAACCTCTGCATAAAGGCGCTTATGCGGTTTATCTTATTTTTGGGGATTTCGGCCTTCTTCTTGAAGATCCGATAATTGTTCAAACCCAAAACCTTATTTCCCTTATACATTCCTTTATCCTTTCCTTTGCGATCAAGTTCAAGATGCAATCCATCATAAAATCATTAGATAAGAGACTAAAGTTCAACGAGAACTCCAAACCGCAGTCCCAGCCACTGATCGATATCGTGAAATTGGCAGCAGGCGCAGAAAAAATCCCGGCCACATAAAAGGAAGAAGAGCATGTCAAAACCGCTAAAAAGTGGATGACAGCATTTCCTATTTTGAATATTCCTGATCTTTTCAACACAGAGTAAATCCACCAGAATCGCCTGGAACGTATAAAATCAAACTATACTTCGAGAAGGCAGTGAAATCGTCAATCTCCAACTAATTCTTCAAAAATTTCATCGAATTCCCTTGATTCTGTTTCTTTCGAAAAAAGTTTAACGAAATTCTGCGACGGTGCCAAGAATAGGTCCGGACATACCGCTGACCAAGGATTAACAGAAATGATTAATTTACTACAAGGCGTAGATTCGATAGAAGACGGAGTAATTTCGCTGCTACAGGATAATAGTTACTTTAAATGGGCTGATCCATGCATAAATCCAGACCACCCAACCTTAGTTCACCACGTAATACAACTAAATGCAAAATTAGCTTACCTTTCAACGCCGATCGTTACAATGATGATAGAAAATCAAACGATATCTAGACTATCCGATTTCTTTCTCACAACTTCATGGAGCAAAGAAGTTTTCTCAGATTTAATGGATTTCTTTTCCAATGTTTGTTCAGACTCTCCGGAGGCTAGAATGCTAACATACGGAAAAGGAGTCTTCGATTCGCTATGTAATATATTAATACAAACAAACGAAACAGAGACATTATTATTAACTACGATGTGCATCAACAGCTTTTTCCCAGACGCTCAGCTGGTTGTTGAGGACCACATAGCCGATACAATCCTAGTACCCGTACGCTCATTAATCGAAAGATTCATCGATCAACAAACGACAGACAAAACGGCAGGCGATATTCTCTACTACGCGTTGAGCGCACTCAGTAAGTTCTGCACAACGCGCGAGAATATAAACAATACCGTTAAAGTCGGTTTGGCCAACCAAATTTTGAGCGTTGCAAATGTGATTGCTAGACCAGATACACTGGATATAATACTCGAAACAATATCAGTTATACTTTCCGCGAATGATACCGCCATTTTCGAGACAATACAGTCAGATATTAACTTGGAATTCCTGATTAAGAAGGGAGGACGCGTAATATGCGATATACTGGTCAGCCTCTTCATAGCTGATGAGACGTTCGTGGTGCCGGCTTTATCACTAGACGCAATTCACATGGCTTTGCCAATTTTGGAATATGGACAGTACGAAGAGAAGCTTTCAGCAGCATCGCTGAGGGCGAATGGAACTGTAGTAGAGGAATACTTCATGGATGAACACCTTATTAGGGAATTGTTGGATTTCTGGAAGGATGAGCAGAAACAACCAATCGTGGCTGCTCTTGATAAACTGATGGACGTAGCAAAGCAGAATATCAACGTAGATACAAAGTATGATAGATTAATCGGATTATTTAGAGATTACGGCTTCATAGCAGAGGATTCTAATGGATCTGCCTAATAATATATATATAATTATTTATGTTTGTATTTTCCTGGTGTATAAAAAAAATACTGTTTATTTTTCGATATATTTAAAATATTTTACGTGTAAACATCTTAATTTCTCAAAAAATTGAATAAAAAACGGAAATAAAATTAAAAATCAAAATAAAATATTTTTCATTTTAAAAATTATATATTTATATCATATATTTTTGATTTATTTATTAATTTTCTTACTTTATGATTCAATTAATTTTTTGATTTTTTGATTTACAAATTAAGCTTGTAATACTTTGATTAAACGATTAGATTTGACTTTGGTATTACGATTGCATCAACGAAAAGCAATGAAATTGATGTTGAAGTTCGATTTCTGATGATTATATTTAAAGTTATTTTTTGAATGACGAAAGAGGATCAGGATCAATTTAGACCTAGCCAATCACTTGTTACTATAGAGATTGGCAATGATACTAATCGTGAATACCTGATGAACTTTGATAAAGTCTATCATTGGGATGATATAATAGTTTTCTTATTTCTATTGTTAGTTTTCATAGTATTACTCATAGGTGGTTATTTTGGACCATCTTCAACAACAGAAACATATACAAATCATTCAATTTCTTATACTCAACTAAATCAACCTGCTCAATTTAAAATTTCATCAGATGCTCAGCCATATAACAAAGATTTAGCAATATATATCCGATTTTTACATCAACCAATGAACATTAATCTCACAAACAATTACACAGTAAATATTTCTGTTATTCACGGAAATGTTCAATCAGAAAGGACAAGAACAACAGAGAAACATAACAATGCTCAATTCATATCTCCAGTAAATTCTACTTTTTCTTCATGGCATCGCATTTATTTCGATAAAATTGTTGATTTCGATAGTATCAAGGTTGATGTCTTAATATACGGTGATTTAAAGAACTATAGTTTGTTACAATCCAAAGTAATAAAAGGTTCTGAAGCAGGATTTCAAATTCAGTTTGGAACAAGGGCCATCTTCACAGGGCTTTGTCTTTTAGTTCTTAAGTACTTCAGCGAAAAGACCAAGGAAAGAGAGTCAAGGCACGAACAGTTACTTACGTATTGTCTTTTGTTTGGAACAGCATTTTACGATAATCCAAGTTTCATCGCTCATTTATACAAACCAGTGATCTATTATCCTATATTTGATGATATATTACGCAGTTTCTACGTTGGATTCATCACTCTTTACTTACTTCTTTTGATTGGACATTTCGGAAACCAAGAGATCTTCACAGAGAGTTTTATCTCTACTAGAATTTATTTTTCAGGCGTCATTGGTCTGTTGATGCTCATGCGACAGTTTTTCAACGATTTGGCCCAAATTTATAATCCAATGTTAGCGATAAATCACGCGGATAGATATTTACTGTACGCAGAACGGGTTTTATATGTTGGATTATACTTGTTTATCCTTGTAGAGTACTTTAAAGCTTGGAGAAGAATTGAAGAATCTGACAGATTTAGATTTGTCATTTATCTTTTAGTTTTACCATTCTTTATCTATGTTACAGGTGTAGCAATGAATTTGTTTGGTTCCTACAGTACTTTTATGTTTGCAGCTGAAATGGGCTGTGCAAACATTCCTGCTCTTGCTCTGGCTTACGGACATTTCCCTTATTCATCAAAGAAGAGCATGGAATACAACCCACCTGATGGAGAAATACCTGATTTAGAAGATAACGCAATATTTGAAGATGAAAATGTTGCAAAGAACGATGAACCAGCAGAAAAGGCATGATTTTATCATAATTTTATTATGTGAAATACAATGTTTGTTTATAAAATATAATTTTGAAAAACAAGTACTTTTTCTTTTCCAAATATCCTTCAATTGAACTATGTTGCTTCATAAGATTATAGCAAGAGATGTTCTAAATTTATACTTTAAAATTCACATTGAAATTTACCATATCTTCAGATATATTAATGAAATGAGTGTATAATGGAAGAACTAGTTTACTAGTACTTAGCACAGCATTGTTATTCATTATTACTCTATTTTAATGTAATGAAATTTTAAAATCTTTCATTACCTTAGTGAATGATCATTTATAATCTAGATATAAATACTTTAGTGATTGTAATCTGGGGATGTTATAGTTTTAAAGAATTTTATTATTAATCTTTGAAAAAACCAGAATTTTCGAAAAAGTGACACCAACTATTAAAGTTATTTTATTACTAGATTTATTTACAAATTATAAGATAATATCATTAACCGAATATATTTTTAATATAAATAAAAAACTTTTTTTATACAAAAAATTACAATCAATCGATAAATATTATAAAACATTTATTCCAAAAAGATTAAGTAATAGGTGGGATCCTGCATATAATATAATTTTATGTCATAAAGTTTACAAATTTTAGATGGACCACAGTGAGAATGTGAGTGGTTAATTTAAAGGTGGTCTGATAAAGACATCGAAGCTTACTCAACACAGCATGAAGCAGTTTCTAATACACAATCTTACTAGTGGTGTTTCGGTCGCCAGCGCTCTCATAGGGGTGCTGATTTCAAAAACCACTACTTCAAATTATTCAACAATACTCAATGCAGCATGAAGCAGCTACTACTGCTGTATCTTACTGGTAGTGTTTTGGTCGTTGGCTCTTGCACAGTCTCTCAGATTTTCAAATTTTTTTTCAACACTATCTTGTTTCGCTCTCAGAAAGCTATCCTACAAAGACATCGAAGCTTACTCAACACAGCATGAAGCAGTTTCTAATACACAATCTTACTAGTGGTGTTTCGGTCGCCAGCGCTCTCATAGGGGTGCTGATTTCAAAAACCACTACTTCAAATTATTCAACAATACTCAATGCAGCATGAAGCAGCTACTACTGCTGTATCTTACTGGTACTGTTCTTCGCTTCTTACTATCAACTCTAAAACTAGTTCGATGTATTATTTATTCATATATAAATATATACATATATAAATATATACATATATAAATATATACATATATAAATATATACATATATAAATATATACATATATAAATATATACATATATAAATATATACATATATAAATATATACATATATAAATATATACATATATAAATATATACATATATAAATATATACATATATAAATATATACATATATAAATATATACATATATAAATATATACATATATAAATATATACATATATAAATATATACATATATAAATATATACATATATAAATATATACATATATAAATATATACATATATAAATATATACATATATAAATATATACATATATAAATATATACATATATAAATATATACATATATAAATATATACATATATAAATATATACATATATAAATATATACATATATAAATATATACATATATAAATATATACATATATAAATATATACATATATATAAATATACATATATATAAATATACATATATATATAAATATATAAATAACAAAATACAATCAAAAAATAGTGTTTGGAAATTTAAGGTTAAGTGTCACTTTTTCGTAAATTCTACCACACTCATTTATAATCTAGATATAAATACTTTAGTGATTGTAATCTGGGGATGTTATAGTTTTAAAGAATTTTATTATTAATCTTTTGATCATCTCATTTTTTTTCGAATCAAATTCTAAAAAATCATCAGGATAACAAAAATGCATGAACTGTATATGCTCATTCTAATATCAATTCATGAGGATAAAACTAATTGTAAATTAAAAATCAAAAATACAAATAAATTTTTACAAATATTCCTCTATTGTTGTTGCGACAAACACGTGATTTAAGTATCCCATGTTATCGAAGTACTGTTCCGTGTACAATCTGTTCTTTCCTGTTTGGGATTCCTTCTGGAAACAGAATTCAACAGTTCTGCGGTTGGTCATTTCATCAACCTTGAGATCTTTCATCAAATCTGATGCTGCTTTCTTCTCTTCTGGAGTTGTTACGACGCAGAATTTGTCGAAACACAAAGAATGAAGTAATCTGTAGCATCCTGGTAATTTCTGAAGTATAGACTTGAAGAAACCAAGTTTGGCGCAAATTTCTTCAATTTTGGTAAATTTTTCGTTACAAATTTTAATATATTCAATAATATTCATGTTTTGGTCATTATTATTGAATAAATCGACTTCCTTATGGAACTGATCTAAAACATCTTTAACATCAGATATATAATCCGAAATTATTGGTATATTAATTTCATAATCGTTTTTGATTGCGAAATAAGCAGCAGAAAGCAAAACAGGAACGAGATCTCCAAACACCTCTGTAGGGATTGCAGAAGACAAGTAATCCAATGCAAGTTCTGCCTGCATTGTCGCATCAAAAGTTGGATCTTGGTCTTTTGCGAGTTTTGGAACTTCTGCCTCCCATAGATCGCGCCAGAAATTCCTTGGATCACTCATTCTCGATGTCATTTCTCCTGTTTCTTCGTTGTAATCGGTTGGTGAAAACCACCTTACGAAATCTTCGAAAACAGAACCTTCGTTTTCAGCTTTGAATGCTGCAATGTCTGATCTGAGCTGTTTGCTTTGGATTCTTGACTTCTGGAGTTGATCTTCGTAATTATTCAATAATAATTGCTCATCTTCACGGAGTTGATCTTCTGTTCTTGCGGAAGCGACTGTCTGCAAAGAAGGATTAATCATCGGCTTTCCATTTAGAAGTTTCTTGTTTGTTGGCTCAGAATTTGTAAATTTACGATCAGAATTCTTTCCTTGAGCAATGCAATAGTTAATCATCTGTATCTTTTGATATAACAGGCAGTGCTCGAAGTCTGGAGCATCAGTTCCGACTCCTGGGATCAAAATTTTCTTATCATAGCAATTTCTAATTTTTGAGAGGAAAGTCGACCAAATTGACGATGCCAAGTGAATCTCCGGGGCAGAAGCCATTGCAATAGTGATTTTTGTCAAAATTGAGTCAGCAGGAGCAGCTTTGAGCACAGATTTCTCTCCTCCGACCTTGGCTGATGCAAATATGTCATCTACTATCTTTGTAGCTTGTGTTGGAGCGTGGTTTGTAAATTCTTGCATAAATTCAGTATGTTTTATGAATTTTACGAATCTTGTTAAGCCAGATTCTTGGTATATTGTTTCGCTAGTGTTTCTGTTCATTGCAATTGCGATATGTTTGACATCATTCAGTGAAAAATCTTTTTCTGGATTCTTGACTTCGGTAGTAAGCAAAGCTATCTTAATATTATCAATTGGATCTTGAACTATCTTTGAATAGAATTCGTTTTGAGTATATTTTGAATTTGGTCCAAAATAATTTTTTCCAATATCGAAAAAGATGGATGAATTTGCTGTAATTGGGCAATTATCAACTCCTGTACATTCTTTAAATGTTTTTAAGATGGAGTCGAAGTCAGAAAATACAGTTTTTTCGCTCCAATCAATTTTGCAGCTCATATGAGTATGAACATGCTCGTTAAACGAAAATCCAAGAAACATGTGGTATTTTCCAGATGGAATGTGAACGAATATTGGTAAACATGTGCCTAAATCTGAAATTGCAGGAGTCAAGACGGACATTAGTTTATGAGCACTGTCAATCGATTTAGCAGAGAAAATAACAAATAATCCACCTTCTACTCCGAAATATTTTCGAATTAAATTAATTACAGGAACTGGTGTATAAGTAAGCTTAAAAGCATCTGTTTCGACGGAGAAATCTGCTGGAAAATATTTGATGGTGTAGTATTTGCCATGATAAGCGAATCTTGACTCGTGAATAATATCATTTTTGTTAAGCATTTCACGAATTGCTATTTCTACTGTTGAAATTGATTCCTCCATTGGTGTGGCTTTAGTAAAGTCACTCCAGAGCGCTTCAAGTTCAACATGTTCAAAATTGGACATAAATAAAAAAATAAGACTTTTTTGTCATGTAAAGTGTATTGTGGCAAGAATTGCAGAAGTTCAATAAAAACATAGGCACATCACTGGATAATTGGAAAATAATGCTAGATGTGATGTTAGTATTTGATTAACTAAATGATTGACCGAGTAGGTGACAAAAGTGCATACTCTTAAACAACCGTCGGATTTCCGGGTGAAATCGTGACACACTTTCGTCTTTCGTAGGCAGTGGTGGTTGTTACAAAAGGTAACTTCGAATGTAGCGTGAAATCTGCAAAAAAAATTCTGAAATTTGAATGGAGAACACAAAAATTGAATAGTTTACGTCAATAAAAAAGAGAAAAATGAAGCCAATGTGTCTCGAACCTAGGACTTAGAGCAGAAATCCCACTGTTTATCACATTACACTACATGCATCTCTCACCTCAGTGAATGAGATCAACTATATGATAACTTTTTCCCCATTATATTCTTGTGGAAAAGTGACAAATAGCAACTTTGACCCTCTCTCCAGAAGTTCAATAAAAACATAGGCACATCACTGGATAATTGGAAAATAATGCTAGATGTGATGTTAGTATTTGATTAACTAAATGATTGACCTCCGATTATTTTGAATGATTGAAAAATGCATCCCGAAGTCGATTTAGGCAATTTTCTGTATTGTATATATCTCTAGCATTGTATTTGCAATTTGGTCGAATCAAAATTTTGCTATTTCTTGTAAAATAAATTCAAAAGTGAAGATTTTATGACGGATCTTCAATCATTTTTTATTTTCATTTTGCACAAAGTTTATTTCACAATCGTAAATGACAGCGGAATGTAAATATCTCAAAAATCTAACGGAAAAATTTTGGTCGGGTGACATGATGCGAACAAACATTTATATTTTTCCGAATTAGCCTTTCACTTACTACAGAGTCTAGATTTTAAATAAAAGTGGATTTCTCGCTGAGTGTCATGTCAGTTCATTTTTGGCAGTTTCCCCAAATTTTGAATTAAAAAATTAGCTAACCGTAAAAGTGTTGAAGGTAATGAAAGAGACTCCGCAGTACTGGGAATTATTATCCGAAACAGATAAAGAAAAGTATAACGAGCTTCATCAAGAATTCAGTTCCGGAGTAATGAAGAGAGCAAGGAACGGCAGAGCAGAATCTTTCGAAGAAATGCTCGAAAACATCAAAAAATATTGCATTCGAAATGACGAAGATGATTGGAAGAGGTACCTCGTCTGTGGTGTTTGCTGGATGGACGAGGCCATCGCAATCAATACTCGACAACTCAGATTACTTGTTTGCAAGTGTAAGAGTTCCATCAATGGATCATTACAGAAAATGGGATTCAGCACTAATATGGCCCATTCGGAATCTTGGAAGATTTTGTTCCCCAAGATTCCATTACTCAAGGACCACTTCTCAGAATTACGCAAATGGACAATCCGCTACAAACCAAAGAAAGATGGCGAGACTGTTCACCATGTTGAAGAACCTGTTCAGAATTCTTCCGAAGAACACGAGGAAGCATCAGAGCCTGTTGCAGTTCAGCAGCAGCTTTCGAGCCCTACTGTTCCTCTGAAATTCAGGGTTAAAATGCTACGATTACAACAAGCAATAAGTATATAATTACTATTTGTTTGTTATTATCCTTTTATTTTATTCAGGATTATCTTGAATAAACGGACTGCTTTTTAAAATTATACTTATTTTTTTCAAAAAAATAACTGACAAAATTTTGATCAAAATTGGATATCAGAAATGATATATCGTTAATCTTTTGGTATTAAGATCTTTTGCTGTCATATAACCGAAATAATCCATTTCTCTATCTTTATTAGATGAATCAGATTCTATTGAAAATTAAAGTAGTATATATGACGATTAACATTCAAGCATTTATACATAAAATCATAAATGAAAACCAAATACCAGTATTTTGCGTTATCTAAAGTGAAGAATGCCTCTTGTAAACATGTATCACATCTATAAAATCTATCTTTAAGCATCACTTGATATGTATCCTCTCCTATTTCTCTTATGTTTTTAAACTTATTTGGCATACATGCAACGCGTGCCTTCTGTGCATTCATTATTTTAGTCTTTGCGTAATTTTGTGTATTCATTGCATCGTAACCATATGATCCATTAAGTGAAATTTTGCAAAATAAACTTTTTCCTTTATTTCCTTCTAATTCAGCCTTTTGTCTTTCGTTCATAAATTCATTCGCAAATTCATTAAAACAAGTGTTTTTAGTAAATGTTAAAATTGATTGAATATCATCGATGATAAAATGAAATCTGTCGATTAGATACCAAAGATAATAAGAAGAAAATGGTTGATATTGGTTGTGTGTTGATGCTAGCTGAGTTAATTTTCTTTGTTTCTGGTCAACTGGTAAATTGTTTGATTTCATGTAATTATACATAAAACTGCCAATTGTTTTTTCATCTGTGATAATATCTAAGTTTCTTATTATCGGTAAAAAGTTTATGTAATCATTAATGTATTTTTCATCAATGTGACCCTTTACTTCAGCCACGAATAAAGTTTTCTTTCTAATTATTCCAAGTGCTTTTGCTTTCTTTGTTGCTGTATCACAAATGATAACACCATTCAATCTTCCCGGCATATACATTTTATGGTCAGTATTGAATGAAATCATGAGGATTAGATGAAAAATGATGAAGGATATAATGAATTAAAATCAACACCAACGAAATGAGTCATGATGTTGGAAGTGTCCTCATTTGATACAGTTTTAGTTTCTGGATTATATGCAAGTTTATTAATGTGCGTGATTCCTTTAAGATTTACTCTATGTTGAACATTTGATAGACCACCAGTAATTCCATTACGGAGAATGTGATAAGCTTCAACTGAATTTAAAGTCATTGGTAAATTATTTTTTAATGCATAATTTCTTAAATTGATTCTTAAACGTTGAACATCTTCATCTTTATTTGATTTTACGACATTGCAATAACAACACATTAACTGACAATTTTCTTTGGTATGTGGTTTTTCATTATCGATTCTATCCAATGTTGGTTTATTTGCATATGTAAACGCTTTACCACACATTTTGCATTTAGATGAAAGGATTAAATCGTGATAGTATTGAAAATCATCCATTGAAACATTATTTTTAGTATCTCTTTCTGCTTTTTCATCTTGTTTCTTATATGATTCAATTTTATATTTCCAATATTTTTTCGTTAATTCAAAACTTGATTCTATCTCTTCCTCAAGATATTTTTCATTAGGATTAAAGTCTTTATATGCTAAAGCGTAACGAATCATTGAAGCATTCGATGATAAAGAAAGATTATGAAGCATATCAATTTTATAAACAAATGTTTCTTCAATAATTTTATCGATTGGGTCAATCATAATTTCAACATCTTTATTGCAATAATGAATAAAATATTCTAATATATTCTTAAAGTTTTTAGCATCATTGAGATATATTTGATAATCACTATCTGATATAGTTTCTTGAGTTAATGCTGAATAAAATGAATCTTTCGTGAATGGTTCCTCTTTATATAATTCTTCTTCGTAATTCTCAGTTAGTATACAAGTCTTGGGTATGGTGGCACTGCGTTCCACCTTACCCAATACTTGTGAATTTGACACTTTACAAAACCGTTAACGTATATTTTACAACATGAACGCAAAAACTAACTTAACCTTAAATATTTACAAAGCCGCCAACAATTTCACCTCACTATCGTTCTCACTAACAACTTCACTAATGTTCTCATAAATTTTCCTCAATATCTTCATCATCAGTGTTAACCCTATTGTAGTCATACTTGAAGCCATAAACTTTCTCTAACTTCTTAACGTACAATTTACATAACTTACCTTCGTCATCGTATGGTTTAATGATATAACTATTTCTATCTTTATAAACAGTCAATGAAAAGTCAACTGGTCTCGGATGTATTTGAAAGAACATGTTATGCTCAGGAAGGAAGAATAAATGTTTAAATGTATGTTTGTTATATGTTTTGATTTGTATGAGTTGCTTTTGTTCTGTCATTACATCCAAATAAAATAAAAATAATTTTAAAAAATAAAATAAAAAATAAATGATATCACCACCCTCACACGTATGAAAACATAGCACAAAAATAATGGAGTGTGGTAGAATTTACGAAAAAGTGACACTTAACCTTAAATTTCCAAACACTATTTTTTGATTGTATTTTGTTATTTATATATTTATATATATAAATATATTTATATATGTATATTTATGTATGTATATTTATATATGTATATTTATATATGTATATTTATGTATGTATATTTATATATGTATATATTTATATATGTATATATTTATATATGTATATATTTATATATGTATATATTTATATATGTATATATTTATATATGTATATATTTATATATGTATATATTTATATATGTATATATTTATATATGTATATATTTATATATGTATATATTTATATATGTATATATGTATGTATTTATATATGTATATTTATTTAAAAAAATTAAAAATAATATAATTAAAATTTATTTATATTTTAAATTTCATACTGATCTTCGATTCCAATTTGTGAATTGATATCATTAACAATTGAATTTCGGTGCACCCCTATGAGAGCGCTGGCGACCGAAACACCACTAGTAAGATTGTGTATTAGAAACTGCTTCATGCTGTGTTGAGTAAGCTTCGATGTCTTTGTAGGATAGCTTTCTGAGAGCGAAACAAGATAGTGTTGAAAAAAAAATTTTGAAAATCTGAGAGACTGTGCAAGAGCCAACGACCAAAACACTACCAGTAAGATACAGCAGTAGTAGCTGCTTCATGCTGCATTGAGTATTGTTGAATAATTTGAAGTAGTGGTTTTTGAAATCAGCACCCCTATGAGAGCGCTGGCGACCGAAACACCACTAGTAAGATTGTGTATTAGAAACTGCTTCATGCTGTGTTGAGTAAGCTTCGATATCTTTATCAGACCACCTTTAAATTAACCACTCACATTCTCACTGTGGTCCATCTAAAATTTGTAAACTTTATGACATAAAATTATATTATATGCAGGATCCCACCTATTACTTAATCTTTTTGGAATAAATGTTTTATAATATTTATCGATTGATTGTAATTTTTTGTATAAAAAAAGTTTTTTATTTATATTAAAAATATATTCGGTTAATGATATTATCTTATAATTTGTAAATAAATCTAGTAATAAAATAACTTTAATAGTTGGTGTCACTTTTTCGAAAATTCTGGTTTTTTCCAAATAAAATAAAAATAATTTTAAAAAATAAAATAAAAAATAAATGATATCACCACCCTCACACGTATGAAAACATAGCACAAAAATAATGTTTAGGTGAAGTGGTGAGATCTCACCTCTTTTTTCACCTGTTTTTTCACCCTGTTGAATTCATTGCTTTATAACTCTCTTCCTTTCTCCAACTCTTCTAACTTCTTCTTAAGTTCAGCAATGTTGTCCTCATGAAGTTTAATCTTTCTCAAAATTCCTTCTTTATCTAATGGTTGCTTTATCTTTCTAAACTGAACTCTACCATCCTTCATAGTATGAATGTAAAAACCTTCTGGAATAATTCCTGATTTAATGTATTCTACCAAAAACTTTTGTTTCATTGCTTCAGTGACTTTAGTCGTCATTTCAATCAAATAAAAATTTTAATATTAAATAAAAATAACGTTATTTTTTTCAGTAAGGAAACGCAGGAGTTTTACGATTTATTTGTGGTGTAGGTTCTGGTTTAAATGTTGGAGTCGGTTTTGGAGTTGACTTTTGAACAGGAGTTTGTAATTCCATAGGTTCAGGAGTCATTGAAGGTGTTGTTTGTGAAGGCGTTGGTTTTGGCGATGGTGTCGGAGTTTGTTTAACTTCAACTACTTCAGTATTATTTACAACATTTGCTTTATTTCTTTTCAACATCATTACTGCTCCTGCTGTAGCTAGCAAACCTAGTGGGAGACCATATTTTATATAAGGACTTGACCAAATGCTATTTTTGACAGGAGCTGGTGGAACACCTAACCTTGGTGAGACTGCTCTTTGCCATTGTGCAGCTCGTAAGAAATATTCAATAGGTGCTCCATAATCGTTTGGTAAAGTTTGTTTCATAGATGGTGAAGGTTCACGAGAGCTTGATGAAGAACTCATTTATAAGCTTTAAAAATAAACGTTCATCCTTTATTCCTCACTGTCGTCCGTAGCTAAGTTATAGTCATCTAATCTTATTATGGGGATGCCATTAGCACGCACCTGAATGGCAAAGCAACAATCCCTCATAAATCCAATAAGTGGCTTTGGTACGTTTTCAGTTGCTAGTTCAATAGGTCCTTTAACAGACAATTTGTATGTTATTGGAGCAGTAGATGTTTGACCTTGCTGGAAGCAAAAGTCCACTTCTGTTGGAAAACCACATAAGAAATGTGTGTTGTCATAGCTATCCCATTTATGTTCCACACTACCATCATCCACCAATGACCTCATAACATCTTCATTAAATCCTATCATATCATTGTTTGTATTGCAGGCGTTCGCAACCATTTCATAAAATACAGGTCCATATGATTTTTCAGGTTCTGCAGGCATATTTC